AATATGGAATACAACCAGCCTCTTGGAGAATTTGGAACCCGTAATTCTCGGTAGGGATCGATTCGACGGCAAGGCCACATGAGTTCCGCACCTTCGGATTCAATAATGTCATGCCGCTCATTTTCCCGGGAATGAAAGGAAGATTTCGAGTTTGGCTCCTGGTAGGCCCCGACGATACTTTCCGTGGGCCCTTGCGTATCGATGAAGATAGCAATTTCAAAACCACAAACGCTCACGTGAAGCATGCGTCTGTTAGAGCTCAAATCACTCCAGGGAAGCTCAGAATTCACGGGAAGACGGTAGCGGTGTGGAGCAATTCCGAAGGGATACTCCAAGAAAATGAAGACTTGACTTGAAGTGCAGTGTGCCTCAAGCCGAAGGGAGGAGCGCCCGAAATTCCGAGCGGGATTTCCTAGAGCAGAGATAGCTGAGATCGCGCGGCAACAAGATGAGGTGTGGTATAGGAATCGCCAGCGTTCCGAAATCAGAAAATCGAGAGCATCACATCGATTAGGAGTCACACTAAAGGACCCTGAGGTGGCCGCCCCTTGCGTACATTCCAAGGTTCTTCGGTATAGCGAGGGCAGTTGCGCGCGAAATATGATTCGATTTCCCCAGCGGAATCGGGTCCCGAGCTCTAGATGTATCGCTCATCGAAGAGACCCGTTCATCATCCTCCGAGCGCATCCTGTATGAGCGACGTCAAAGAGAACTCACGGCTTTATCGATGGTGGGTGAGGCAGAACAAGGTAATTGCTGCCTGCGGGTCCAGGCAACCACCTGTTCGACGGAGTCGAGAACAGGGTTGCCGTTTTCTGGGAGCTTGTAGAGAATCAACACCGGGTCCTCGCAAGTTTTTTTGGCACCAAACAGCTATAGCCTTCACTCGATTGCCCCTTCACGGACCAGGAGGATGATTATAGCGACTCCTAGGTATGGACGAGCGACACAAGTTGACGTCGCGTCTACATTAGAAAAGCTCGCCTCTCGACAATGCTCGATACCCTCTCTCTCTGTTTGCCATCTCCTCTACCGAACGTACGGTCCAGCCCTCCCCCGAAAACCGCACGCGTCCCTAGAATATGCCCTGTTGACATTCCCTCAGAGAATACTACGAAGATTCATTGATACAACTCCGATGAGAATCGCAGCTATCTATTGAGTGTGAGATATGTGATTCGGACAAAGAGGAAAAATCACAATGGGCGGGTCGCAAGAAACGAATCCGGGGAACTTGCGCATGCGCTCGCAATTCTTCGCAACCTTGCGCAGTGGAAAGGGTGAACGAAGGGGATGAACTTGAGCATAAGCTTCATCAACCACGACAACTTACTCGCCTCTTCATTCAAGGTCATTCACTCAGGACGCTTCTAATCAGAAGTTAAGACGCAACTCATCGATTCCTCGAAACAAGTTCTCTGACGGACATCCAAACAGAATTTCTCATCGGGGGTTCCGGGAAGCATTCCGTAAGCGCTCTGGGAATAGCTACCGACGAAGAACTCGACGTGGGGGCCGGAGACTTGAAGAGATCTCCGATGGCACTCCTCAAGGATTCGATCCTGGCGAGCTCGAAGCTGTGCAGAACACCAACACACGCGCTTCCGCGTCCGTGTCTCCGATACGAGCGGCCAAGGCGGCAAACGAATTCTCAGAGCAAGCGGGGCTTAGAGCCCGCAGCACGACAATTTTCTAGTATGCAGAGTTCCAGTGCGCCGTGGAATCCTCTCCCACAGCGCCCGTTTCCAGTATTGCCGCGAGTGAAAGGCGATGAAACGTCACAGCCTGGAGGTTGTGTTGTTGGGCAAGCAATTATTCTATCGTCTCTGACTGATTGCGGAATCTCTCTTAATTTTTTCACAAGCGTGAGAGCTCCACAAGATCTTCAAGGAGACTTCTCTCTTCGAATGCTCCGAGGGTCCTCCCTCGCCGACGAGGGGACCAGGAATTTCCGTTCGGTTTCTGTGTATTCAGTCCTGCCCATATCAGTCCGCATTTCTGAAGCCTGCTCTCGGCAGCCCTCGATGCGTGTTCGAGCCGTTCGAGAAATCTCCGATAGGGATCCATCCCAGTCGTTTCGATGCCTGGATCTGTCGTGCTCTATAGAGGCCCCGGGCTCCCCAAGAAGGTGAATTCCGGAGAGTCCGATGTACGTAAATCCTCTCCGCTTCAGGACGAGACCTGGGACAGCATCTAAAGCGCTATGATCGCAGAACGCTTGTCGACAGTGAGCCTGAACAGCTTAACTCCCGTCTCCTTTATTTTTGAAGCTCCATCTAATCCTCCGAGGCGGGGGACCTCTGCGAGAAAGTAGCGAGACGTTATTTCTCCCTAATCTTCCCTTGGTAAATATTTCACCTCCTGAACAAATGTATTCTGATATCGCGCTTGTTTCTCTCTGAGTTCCCCCGTGCTCCACGGATCCCTTGGAACCCCCTCCACGACCCTCTTCTCCCTGTGATGGGGACCCATTCCACTGTACGGGTTTGTAGTTCCCGGCTCACCTGAGTCAGACGCCAGGGAGCCATTGGTAGGTAATTTTCGTTTCTATATGTTCCACATTGATTCCTCTCTCGAGATTGGAGATATCAGTTTTCTCGCTGCCCGAAATGTCAAGCGTGCCGGGGTTGGTCGGAATTTGAGCTCCGATACATGGTGCCAATCGGTGTTCTCCAAGGTTCTTCCGGATGCGGAAGTTCCAGCTGCTCAAACTCCCGACATGCACTGAGTCCGAGCATCCACGTGAAGACTGAGCCCCTAGCGAATCTTTCGACTGCTCATTGCGAGAGGCCCCTCACCTAATGTGAGTCCGGGCTCCCTTGTCGACGTGTGAGAACTATGTTTTTGAACGACCGCATGGATCGAATCCCGACGACAGTGCGGAAAAAGATGGAGCGTTTCTACATCAGGTCGGGATCCGGAGCCGACTTCCGATCATCTCTCGAGCCATCAACCTAGCTCGATAATCTCCTGCGAGTAAGGAAAAGCCCGCGTATACCTCGATCCAGGTCATTCGAGGAGGTACACCGAAGAACGTCGAATGTCGTATAAACTTGTGACTGTCCATATATGGCTCTTTTCGGAGCAGATAAGCGCGTGCCGTTGTCACAGGACCGTGATGCCGAATCCTGGCTGCCCTACCATCTCAGCGAGAAGCTCACTCCCTGTGTGGGGTTGGGCCAATCTCCCGACCTACAATCAGCTCGCTGAGATTGAGCCTTTCGGCCTCCCATCAGCTTCTGCTCCATGTCACTCAGCGAGAACTGCCAATCTTGTAGATCATGGAAAGACCGATGCATACGGTCGCTCCACTCCGTCCATATTCTGGCGGTGAGCAGGCATGGTAGCTGATGCGCAGTCTGAAGATCGGAAACGGAGAATCCATCGATGCAGCAACTAGACCGACAGAACTCCTGTTCAGCTCTCGCCGAATTATCATGATAGTTTGTCGGAGTCGGTCGAACGATCGATCAGAGAATGGGCAAACGACTCGTGGCCAACAGACGAGAACGGCAGTCCCGACCTGCAAGGGAACTGACGCAAAAAACTAGTGATTCGAGCAGGGATAATTCTCTTTGGAGAGCATATTCTGCACGTGGCATGAATGTTCCGAGGTGAAGATGGATGTGACGAGGACCAATGAGATTTCTCCCACCTCGACGCGAAACATGCGTAGGCTTTCATTCATGTCCAAAAAGCTGCAAATACCCATACCACCACCCACTGAGGGGCTTAGAGATCTTTTGGAAGTCGGTTCGAATTCCGGCAGCGGGAGGGTAGTCGGTGTAAATCAAGGTTCGGGGTTCGCGCTGCGATCGAACCCTCACATAACCTTCTTCTCTGGCGATGATCTGGTTGAGGGGTACGCTAACGATCACTCTCACCCTCAAATAATCAAGAAGCGACTCGCCGAAGCGGCAACCTACTTCAACCGAGCTCCCTTTTTCTGGCCGGACTCGCAGCTTGAACTAGATTCCGTGAGACGGCTTCCTAACGGATGATCTTCCAGTGGCGAACAGCCATCAGAGTACGTTCTAAATATTTCAAGCTGAGTTCGAGGGGCGGTCGCCGCTGGGGAGACGTCGCACACCTTCCGGCGCCCACGAAAAAGCGCTTGCCATCGAACACGGACACGGCGAAGGCCGGCGACGACGAGTTCCCAGCGTCAATCCGGCTCTCTGATTCCGGCATCCAGTGCCATCCAGATCGACTTCAATTCGGACAGAAAGCGAGGATTTAGAGAGGTTGTTACAAATCCTCTCCGAGAACAGCGGCTTGCCTCGCACAACCTCCTCCCTCATCAGATTCGGTCACGGAATCGTCCCTCCTCCAGAAACATCGATCTCGGAAGGATCGCAACATCTACGTCACCCGGAAGAATAGACAAATTGTCATCAAACATGGACACGCTGCCCTCGGAGGTACGTGTGTTTCTCTTGAATGAAAAATCACCGAGAAAGCTCAGAAAACCCGCGTAGAACTCTGTTGTTGTAGCCAGGATCTCATTGTGGAGTAGCGAAGTCGATCTCGTGCCAAAGTCTTTCAAAATTTCGCCCCCGACCGTAGAAATAACTTGCGACGAGGACAAGTCACTCTCATAAGGTAGCCAGCTAGTTGGAATGCATAAAGTTGAACAATATCTTCTCAATCGATACCTACGGACGACGTGCGCTTGAAGCGCAAAATATCCTGGGATTTTTTTCTACCCGAGGAAAAAATGATTTGCCGACTTTTGAAGCGGTCTACTCGAAACCACCCCGACCGATCGAGTGATTGAAAGCTCCATCGGATTCACCTCGTCAATAGCTATCGATTGGGAAAAATCTCGATTCCATACGTTCTATCTCGTCTGAAGAGCGACTCCTCGATGTAGGAAAACTTCCTGGTCGCGAGCCTAACCGCGACCAAGCTCTTCGTTCGTCTAAAATCCTGCTCTCTTGGCTCAGCTGCTGGAACGGGTGCTGCTGCGATTGCAGCCACTCGAACGACTCGGAACCGCCATGGTCTGTAGGAAGCTGGCCGAGCATGTTTCCGACTCAAAATATCTGGAGGACGTGTGGTTCCGTATTGAAGACACCGACGTCGAAGCGGCTATACTCAACCTGGTGGAAGGCCGGCGAAGATACATCAATCTCCGGTTCCACAGGGGTAAGGCAATATCGCCGAATAAGTCCTCGAACCCGTTTTAGGTACTCAAAATGAGGGCGTGTCCGAGATTTCTTCTGACAGCGGGACATGGAGGGGGGGGAGTGTCCTTCAAGAGCTTCACTTGATCCATCCTCTCTCGCTGTTCCGATCGGGTCACCCGAGAGATAATCCGGAAAGCTGATCTCAGAAAGACTCGAACCCGCCTAAACCGGTGGGAAGAATTTTTTTCGATCAAGTTGACAGACACGGGGCTTGAATTAGAACCACCGTATGCTGATTCGTCCCAAACTCAGCCGCGCTCTCGTACTTGGGAGATCGCGGGGCGGAGGCGTAACCAGTTTTCTTTTAAGGGTTGGGGAATTTCGATTTTGGGGGGGGGCAAAGGTCCAAAATGGCGACCCGCTCTAATATGCTCAGGATCACGGATGCAGATTTCCAGAGAGTTTTGGGGTTTAGAGGAATTCCTCGAGAAGAATCTTAGATTTTCAAGTGAAAGTCTAAGGGCGAACTCGATTAGGGGTATATTCCCCGAGGTCCGCTCGAGGCGCCATTTCGCTAAGCTACGCTGCTGCTCAAACTTTGGTCTCTCCGGAGGAACTGCCGAAGGGAGAAGTTTCTGGGTGAGGGGGGCGTTGGGGCCATGCCTCTCCCCCTGTCTGAAAACGCTTGGCTCACTCAGAATGATGATCTACCATATCACTACCTCTATCCTCAGTTGACATGTTGCCGTTCGACATAGAATTCTGGAGCCTGATTGGCGTGAACCTTCGCAAGCTGTCCATCGTCATATGGGATTCATTAATATCCTCGGACTTCTATCGCATTCTCCGGCATTGCCAAGCGCTCGAATCGCTGGAAGTCACGGGTAAGCAACAACCACCAAAGTCCGGATTTACCGGCAAGCTCCACCGCTTTAGGACAAGCAAGTCGACGAAAATTCGGCTTCAATATTCTTGCTGCATCATTCTGTTGCTCACTCCGCGAATCTTGCGATGCACCACCGACGAATTCTCATATCGCTCGTCGAATACTTCTGGAGCCCTTCTTGCCTCGATTCGAGATCCGTCACTGCAGAACTGTAGAACTTCGAGAATCATCCCGGGCTCAGGAAAATGATCATATTTGTATTCTGTGTTTTCCAGCCGGAGGGGAACTGAAGAGCTGTCCGAAAAATATCGTCCTCAAGCCGTTGAATTCCCTGCGACATCTCTACCTGAGATTAACCCTGTCGAGGGAAACCCTCGTAGACTTACTCAACTACATGCCGAATTTGGTCTACCTCGGGCTGGAAACGCTGGAACTCAACTACGCGAGCGATGTTTATCCGAGGCTACTACCCATCTCATTGGATTCGGACTTCAAGTTCTCGAAATTCAGCATCCAGGTGGAATATCTCGACAATGAAAGCACAATCAGCTTCCTGAGGAAATACTCAGGAAATCTCCGTGAGCTCGTCTTGCGTAGATGCGATTCCCTTGGGCACGCTGCTTATGATGCGATCGGCGATTGTCGGAACCTACGGAGGCTCGAACTTAGTGAGCCGGACGGTCTCGACGAGGCTCATCTGGAGAAGATTTTCTTGAATTCTCCAGGTCTGGAAACTTTCACCCTGCCGCTGTCGCCACTCTCAGATGATTTTCTAACTCGGGTGGCTTCGCTGCAGAGGGTTCGAAAGCTTGAATTCCGGCCGGATCACCATATGAGCCCGGCATCGCTCAGAATCCTGGCACGGATGTCGAGTCTGCACAACCTAACCCTGCCCTTATTCGATGACACTCTCGAATGTTACCAAATCATCGCCGGCATGAAAAACCTCCGAATGTTAAAGTTCCAGGATTTTCAAGATGGTCCGTCATCGGAATCCTTCGCATCGCTGATCGAAAACTTGACAGAACTCGAGGGAATCAAGTTGAGTTGCGAAAACCTGACCGACGCAGATGGAGTCAAGTTCCGTCACTTGAAGAAGCTGCGAAAACTCTGGATTTGGTACGGTGTGGGATTCACCGACCGTACTTTCGAGAGGGGTATCGGGTCGGGAGGATTGACGGATCTCCTTCTCGTCGGGTGCCCCTTGACAGACGTCGGTCTGGCTGGCATCACCACTCATCATAATCGTCTCATCTTACTCCACCTCAAAAGCTGCCACAAGGTGACGGATGGGGGAGTGATATCCCTTATCCGGAAACAGCCTCACCTTCGCGAACTGAGGCTCAGATCCTGTGCTTTATTGACCGACAGAGTCACAAGGGCTCTAGCTCAGGAAGATTTGTGCCCTCGACTGAATAAGCTGCTCTTCACTGGTCGCAACGTGAGGGACAGAACACATAGTGAATTCATAAAAAAAGACGGTTCACTATGGAAGTATGCGATATTCACAAGGTAGCTCCGCGGACCGGGTGCTCACTCCTATAGAGTCCCATCGGCAGAGCTGATCCGAACCTAACATCCACGGTGGCTTGACTGTCAAGGAGGAATCGGCAGTGTGTTTGTCGCTGTTTATTGGCGTGGAAATGTCTTATTCCAGAATTTCCCACCCCAAATCTTTCACGCCCATGATCAGAGTCTCATTTCATAATAGAGAGCTTGCATCTACGCAGCGGAACCTCGGAAGAGCACGGAGAATTCGCTCTCTCAACATGCTGTAAATATTCTAATCGAAGGACGTTCTCTTATGTGTGTGGAATCGAGCGGTCTCAAATAAAGCAACGGGTCCTTAAGGCTTGAAGAAACTGTCGGGCAGTCTCTGATAAGCGGGCGCTTCTGATGGTGAGAGTCCGGGCATACGGGCTGCGATGAGTTGATAGCATCTCTCGTAGGATAGGACGACCGTTTATTTATTTTACATACTCACGTCGTGGAGAAAGGGTACACATATAGGTCATCAACCTATTCCAGCGAGGCCGTCGGCATTCGGTAGTGATCCGAGGACCGCTGCGGCATTGCCCCTCTGCACCTCAGTGGATATCCTCTGCAGAAGAAACTCTTCGCCCCTCCTGATCCCCTGATGTCCCTAGCCTGACATGCCTTGATGTCAATCTGTTCCGATTTCCCAAGCGCCCGAGGAAGTCCTCTGAGGATTCTCGTATTACCCGCAGAGTCTCGATGGCGATCGGCTGAACAACGGAACGGTTTTCAAGCTCCTCATATTCAGAAAACTCGGTTTTCTCCGCCAGCTTAGCCTCCTCACCAGCAGCACGGACCGAGAGCGAATGGTGCGAGGGGGCAAACGTGTCCCGTACCGTCGCACCCAAAATCAATGATCAAACTAGCACAGTGTTTCTCAAACTGGGTTCCGCGGCGGATTGCGCGGAACCCCAAAGTCCACCTGCGGAACCCCTACGGAACAAGGAAGAAAAAGTTTGGGAAATACTGACCTAGCAGGTCGTTTCTCGGGAAATGATCCCCTGGGAACGACTTAAATCGATGAGGGACAGCCATTCGGGGAATTCGTCGTTGACTTCGTGTCTGTCTTCCCGCGGACCTTCTGATGTACCAATTAAGCAGGAAAATGATCAAATCTGCACCCTGCAGTTCTCTGAGTAAATCGGCGGGTTCCATAGAAGCGGGGATAAGGACCCGAAACCGACATCCGATTCCTTTTTCGAAGCCGATTCCACTCGGGAATGCAAAGTGATCACGGATATGGTGAGTCGATTGTACTCCAGAGTAGGCCATATCCGGTCGATGTTCCGCGGCGGGAAAGAATCCAAAGAATTCAATCAAGAATTCGAATTTCAATGAAGGTGTCTTTTCCATGAAAGAGCTCAGAAACAAATCCAATCAAAACTGTGAATGTCAGTGAAGGGTGCAGCCTCCGTTGAAGAGCCGAGGAACGAAGCGATAGAGCGCTTCAGAATCGTCAGATGAATTCCCAATCCCTGTGATAAGATCCGAGAGCAATGAATGAAGAATTCACATGTAGGTACCTAGGTATCGAGATGCCTGTTAGTCTCCTGCTGAAGGTTTATCGCGAGGAGGCGGTATTATACCTTATGTTCCTGCGAGCTCCTTGGCCCGGAAGGTGATTCGGACAGCGCTTGTCGCCGGCTTCTTCGAGCGTAAGCTTCCTCGAACTGATCTCCCATAGTAGTTATGAACTCCTAAGTTCAAGAAAGCCCTCTCCGCTCCCTTCGTGGTATAGACGAGCGCTATGGAGAATTACCGACGCCTTCAGGCTGCTCAATTTCAAGAAGGAGGGCTCTTTCGACAAGAACTTCGAGCAGGCAGCCTCGAGTGCCTCCTACATTATGTCTGATGTGGTCGTCTCGCTCTCATCGCGAGGGAAGTTCCTCGTCTCGTTGTGCCTCTTATTGTGAAGGCAGAGATGATTGCCGCATACCCAAGTGGCGACAAACCGCAGCTCGATACTGAATCACTTGATTACTGACGTTTTCGGCTGGAACATTCACCGATCCGATGTATTGCTCCGATATTCTACAGCAACGAATGACTGTAGTTCACCAGAGTGAAAGAATCGGGACATTTGGCAATTCCCAGCTTGGGCCAGGATGAGTTCTGAGGAGCACTTGCCCCACGGACGGCGATGAGCATCGAGGGCTCATATACGGAGGTCGGCTGACCTCGACCTACACAGAGGGATACTAGGTATGGAGATCTCTTGCTCAGGTCCAGGACAGGTACGGGATCAGTCTCGCGAGCCGCGCGACCGCATTCTCCGTGCGATGCCTCTTGGATCATAAGGACCGTCAGATCGTGAGCTCGAAAAGAACGCATGCCGTGTTTCCTGGCGACGAGTTACCGGAATCGAACTTAATGTACCAGGCCCTCCCTATTTGAGCGTTGAGATCGTGGATGATGATAAGGAATTTGGTCGTCGTCTTCTCGGGAGCATCGAGCCCTTAGGAGCGGTCTCTCAGCTCACTTGATCACATTGCAGCAGACAAGGTGCCACTAGATTTAGACGAGCTAATCAATTTCTGACATGACTGTCTCCCTCCATCCCGGAGCGACGTAGAGATACTCTTAGGCGGACGGAGGAGAAGCATACTCCCTTTCAGAGGAACTTGGTGTTTTTTACGGTTCTCCCCAGCCATGGGGTGGATGCCTTGTTGATTAGCGTCCCCGACGAGACCGACCAAATTAGGTGCTGAGCTCATTTCCAGCGACAGCGATGAATAATCATTCTCAGCTGTATATTTTTGTTCTTGACGATGCCTCCGCGAGAAGACGTAGAAGGTCACAAGATGAGCAGATAGCAACGGACTTGCGAGTAGGTAAGTACGCGACTCTTATTGGCTAGGTGAACCGTCGCCATCTAGCAATGGTAATTCGTTGGCCGTGACTTGGGGATTCTCATGGTTCCGTGCAAATCTGACGGAGGATGGAAATTCCTTCATCTTTCTAGATGCCAGCCCCATCCGAATCCCGATCAATTTCCCTGGGGAAGGCATCTGCATTTGCCTTCGTACCGGTGAGACTTCCCCTTGGGCCATATATGGGAAGTAATGGGAAAGGGCGTGGGAAATAAGGGAAAGTCCGCTCTGCCTCATAGATAAATTTCATCTGCTATTCCACCGAAGCGATAGAGTTTTCTGCCTCTCAGTTTGACTCGATCAGAGTGGGGTTGGAAGCGCCCTCGTACAGGAATCGCCTATCCTCTGATGCGCCGACAGCTCAAGCACATAACGGACGAACTATGCCTCTCGGCCGACCCGCAAGTGGTCGCCTTCGATCTTCCCAACATGCACCACCCATTCTTGGTCCCATCAGTAGCGCAAGTCTCTGGCTAGATTTCTGAATTTCCCCATCAGTACTCCGGGAGATTCTCATCAGCGAATGAAGTTTCCCTTCCGAGGGAAATGGATGAGAATTCAGATTGCCGCATATCCGAAATAGAAGAAATTTCCATCGACGATTCGGGCAGGACGAAAGAGAAGTTCAATTATCGGACCCGTTATTCCGTTGAACGGAGTCGCGAGCGATCGGGCAGGCAAGCGAGCATGCAAGCTTCCGAGCGGTTTGCCCAAAAGCCAGGCCGACAGAAGCCACGGCGCAGAACTTTTTGCTCGACTCAGCATCCGTCGGGAAGCGCCGATGGCTTTGTCTGTCAAAAGCTCTCACCAACAATGGCTCAATTTGAGGAGCAGTGAATTTTTGATTAAACGCTCCGCGTCCTCCCGCCTGCTCGCTCATCACTCTTCAACACCGCACAGATCCTAGGGTGCTGAAACTTTGAGCTTTTCCACGCCTAACGAAATTGACGCTATCCAGACCGCAAAACCACACAGAAAGCCTAGAAACTAGGGCTCAGAGCGGACTAGCAGAGCGAATACTTTGTTCGTCCCCCTGGTAAATGTGCTTCCTTAGCGGAGCAAACTCCATGTTATCGTAGAGCTCTGGCTCCGAATCGCGTACGCAGAGAATGCCATGAGTCATGAGGTACATATCACGATCCTCAGCCGCATGATACGAAATCGCATAGAGCTTTCCTGGATATTCGAGCCAACGAGCCTGGAAGTCCCTGAGCGGTGGGCAATATCGTCGAGAGGATGATTCTTGTGAGTTGCTCCTCCCAGAGGACCCATAGCAATGTACCGAGCTTCCGAAATTCTGCAATGTTCCAAGAAATACGGTCGCTCTCCGGCAAGAATCTTTTCCCGGGAGCAGCACACAGCGATACGTGCGATGCTGCACCTGCTCGAGGCCTGTCCTGGCCGGGAAGGCAGGACGGGGGACAGGCAGTTGCTCCCAGTCTTTTCCAGAATCATCACTCTCAGCACAACCGTCGGCTTTTTCCGGTCCTCCCGGAGCTCGCGAGCATCTTGTGGCCGTCTCATTTCTAAGTGAAAACGTTTTCCCCTTACAGGCGCCAGCTTCGGGGAGAAACGCTCGAGCAAAAGTAAACTTCCACATTTGAGGCTCTAAGCGCAAAGCACCTAGATGCAAAAGGATCCATCTGTATGTAGCGCTCTATTCTCCAACTCGGAATCGAGCCGGTCTGCCGTCATTGTAACTCCGCTATATTGCGCCAGATCATGTCGTCAACTCCCGACTCCACCTGAGATTGGTACGTGGATGTTATCATGTCACCTCGATCCGCACCCAGATACCCTCGATGATAGAGCGAGGCTCCACGTCGCTCCTCGAGATAGATCTCATTCTTCTTCGACCCATCCTCCGAGGGGCGAGAAGTTCGGGTTCCACAACGAGAGTCTGTCCCCCCTCGAGGGCCTTGCTGTCGGTTATCGATTTTACCAAGCTCTCGATCAGGTTGACAATTTCTGCCTAAGAATGGCTTGCGATAAGGAGATTGCGCTGAACGCGCGTCAAACGACGAGGCTCTTCCGA